ATTAATCACATATTGCTAACTACTTCATTTTATACAGAATAAAAACATTTATGACGAAAATATGGAAATAATATTTACCGATTCATCCTAGCAGCATACAAAAATAAAGAATTATAAAAATTGAGATTTTATTAAGAAAATATGAAAATAAAAATATTATAAAGCTTACATTAGATTTTAATGTTTTATCTGGAGATCTTAATGCGGAACGATGAGGCGCTAAAGTTGCATTCCAAGCTGATGGTGTAAATTCTTCTTCTTCTTCCTCGTCCTCCTCTTCTGCTGCATCCTCTTCTGGATCAATTTCATCTTGAACATCAACATCTACTACTATTTCTTCATTGTTACTTAAACTGCTTCGAATTTGAATTTGTTCAACATGTGGTTCGTTATATCGCTGCGGAATAATATAAAATTATTGTATATCAAACGAAAACTTATATACAGCATGTATATATATGGAAGGTGTATAATATTTATACCTTCCAAACAAATTCTCCAGAACTAGAACTATTATCTTCATCTTCTTCTTCTTCATCTTCTTCTTCCTCCTCTTCTTCATCTTCATCTTGACTACCCCATCCATGTTCTGTTCCAAAGCTTGTTGACATCAAATCATCTTCCAATGGTAAAGGCAATGGTAACGGAAAAGATGAAGGTAACTGTTGCCACTTAGATTCTTCCTCTGGACTTGGCAAAGGTGCTCCTCCACTCGTAATCATAATATGCGGTTTATCATCACGAGAACGAACTACCGAACAACTATAATCCAAATTTTCTTCTTCAGAAAGATCTCCATTAGTTGTATCTCGTTCATCATCTTGTAGTTTTTCTCCTAATCCTTCTAATAAGATCATTTTATTTGTCCGAGTATCGACTAATAATACATCATCCGAAGCAACAGATTCTTTTGAAGCAATTGATGTATCCCTAGAATTTGATATCAAAGACTCCGAGGTAAGAGTACTTTCTCGCTCTTCTTGAATTGGACTAAGTGGAGTGCCATATACATTATACCTAAATATAATAAAAAACTTTTTAATGTAGATTTTTAAACAATAAATAAATTATAATCACATTAATTAATGTTGTATTATATTGTTGGGAATCAAAAAGGTACCTTATTGAAATACCCACTCCTCCACTACCTTGATTAGAAGATTCTTCACTATCATCATCATCCCATTGTTTACTGTCTATATCACTAGATACAGATGGATTATCATCGTCGTGAGCTTCTACAGGTTCTATAATAGACATCTGAGCACAGGATAACTTCTCTCTAAGTTCATTTCGAATTGCTGTTACCAACTCTTCTTCTATATCAAATGATACATAAAAATTATCATTATGTAAACTCATTGTGGAACTATTATCGTCTTCTATTTCATTTTCATTTGTTCTTTCTTTTTTATTTTCAATTTCATTTTCATTCACATTTTCAATTTCTTTTTCATGCTTATTTTCACTTACATTTGTATATTCATGTACAATTTCATTTTTATTTTCAACTTCACTGTCATTTTCATGTTTATTTTGTATACTGTATTTTAATTTTTCATTTAAATCTTTTTGTTGAGAATCAAAATCAATATCATTTAAATTTTTTAATTCAATATTCTCTTCAATTTTAATTACACTTTCTGCCTGTATTTCTTGCTCACCTTCAGATACTTTCTTTATTATATTACTTTCTACTGAATTGACATTAAAAGTACAATTTTCATTACATTCTGTTTCAACTACAGTATCTATAGTATGAATAGAATCAGATTCATCTTCATTTGTACAAAGAACTTTATTTTCTGCATGATTAATTGAATATAAGTTTTCTGACATTTTTTCAGACCCTTGAAGTGTTGCATAGTACTCTGCATCAAGAATGGTATCCAGTTCAAACAAAATTTGTAATTGTTCTTTTTCAGTACATATTGGCACATTCACTGTAGAATCATTAACAGAAGTAGAAGTGGAAGGGGCTGAAGGACAAACGTTCTCTTCTTCTTCACAAGATTCTTTATCTCTAAATCCAGAATCAGAACTCTGCTCATCATCTGGGGTAGATAATTGTTTTCTTTCTTCTTCATCTTCATTTGGTAAACATCTTCGGTCTATGTCTGTATCTTCTCCATTGGAAAATTCATCATCTGCATTATAAGCACAGTATTTTCTAGATTGTGGTGTATCTGGTGTAGATACAGCAGTTACAATTAATTCTGGTGTAGTATTACTTTGTTGTTTAATTGAAGATTCTGTATATTCATTAAATTCACCTTCATCCAAAAAACCAGGTACTTTTTTTTCTAAAGCAGAATCCAATGCATGATTCCAAAGTTCAACATCAACTAAGTTGTTTTCATCTGTTTCAAAATTAATTGAAAAATTATCAGAAATGCAAGTATTGTCACTGTTTTCATGCTTAAATATATCATTACATTGAGACTTATTATTTTGCTTCAATGCTTCAAAAGGAGATGTATCATCAGGTACATAACGTAGAAGAGGAAGATCAGGATTTCCCTTTGATAAAAGTCTCAGTACATGTTTGTCATTACGTGTTTCTGTAGTTACATTTGCAACAGATGCAGTGTCAGTATGCATAGTAGTAGATTCCTTATCATTTAAAGATAACCTCAAAATTGGAGTTTGAGTTTGATCCATAGTTAATGTCAGCACTTTTGGCCTTTCTGAAACATCTAAAATTTTGAACTTACTAGAAGTATTACTTGGCAAAGGATCCCGTAATTTTCTTAATGCTTCATCAAATTCATCTGTATGAGTACTATGTCTAATGTCACTATCGCTACCAGTAGTAGGCAATTTTTTCTTTCCATATTTTTCTGACATTTGAGCTCCCATTGATAATTCTGCATCAGAATCAAAATCGATATGTACAAGTACCATTAAATCAGTAACAGATTTAGATTTTTGTTTTACTTTTTCAGTATATACTCCTTGTTCAATTCGTCCTTTCCAACTTTCTTCTTCAGTTTCAGAACTAGATTCATGTTGAACAATATTTTTAACAGTTGGTACATTTTTTACTAATTCACCTGGTCCGAGCCGAAATGATGATTGCCGTGGGGTATCGTCGACAATAGTAGTCCAATAATCTGAATCGATACTTCCTCGAAGATCTTGTAAACTAGCACTTCGAACATGTTTAGTATTAACTCGTAAACTCTCCCATCTTTGTTCAAAATCCACATATTCTGTATGTTCATTTAAAAGAAGTTGCTTTACCTCATCCAAATTTGGTCTTTTCTGTGAATTTAAATTCAAACATAAATGAATTACTTGATATATGTTTGATGGACAGTTTTCTAGGTATGTTTGCAACACTTGTATACCATTTGATAAAAGATCAGTTCTTAGAGATAAGAGCATTTGAATTACTTGTTCATCACTCTTATCATGGTATGGTCTATTTCCCCATGTAATAATTTCCCAAAGAAAAATAGCATAACTCCACATATTTGCCTGAGATGTAATTTCTCTAGTCTCAATAGTGGTATCAGTACATTCTACACTCTCTGGTGCTGACCATCTAATAGGCAATGCACGGTCTCCAACCACATAATAATCTTCAGGATATTTTTCTACACCAGTGCCATAATCTCCTAATTTTGCTGATAAGTCTGATGTCACTAAACAATTTCTGGCAGATAAATCTGTATGTACAAATCCATGACTATGCATATGTTTTAAACCAGTAGCAATATCCAGTGCCATTCGAATTGGAATATTTTCTTTGTTAAGTGCTTCTTGAGATTTTTTATCACGATTTGATAATAGGAAACCTTTAAAATCACCTACTGAACATGATTCAAATAGTAATAGATATGGGTCAGTTTCTAAGCAAAATCCTAATAGAGTTAAGATATTTCGATGATGTAATTTTAAATATGGAGTAGCTTCACCAAGAAACCAAGCTTTTTCCTTTATAGTAGCTTCTTCAGTAAGAATTCTCACAACAACACCACCATTTTTGGAAGTTCTTTTATGTCCTTCTAAATCTGCACGACCTTCTACAACTTTCCCAAACCAACCATGTCCAATTTCTCTTAAATATTTTAATTTTTCCCTAGGCACACATAAATCTTGTGCATCAAACCATTCACGACAATGTTCTGGGAGAGTATTAGAATTGGAATCATGTTCTTCAAAACATGATGTTGATAATGGTAATGGTTTAAGTTTTGAAACATTTTTAGGTCCAGATATAATATGTTCTACAGGCAAAGGTTCAAATTGTACTCTGTCTGCAACAGCTAACATATGTGGAACATTTAACTCTAAACCATCAACAGAATGTTCAAATACTGATTCTTGTCCAACATTGTTTCCATCTTTGAATTCCTAAAACATAAAACAACAATTATACTTTTTAAATTCTTTTATTAAAAATTAAAAAGACATTCTAAAACATAAAAAATTAAAATATATTAAAGTACATTA